GAGAAAAGTGCATAGAACACGCAGTACTACTGTAAACTAATGCACTAACAACATGCTACACTTGGGGAATGATGGTCCCTTTGAAAAGAAAACTAAAGTAGTCTTTAAAGGAATATTGGTATTTAAGATACATCTGTGGAATTTCTTGGAACAGTGTGGAACTCTTCATTTCAACAATCCTTATGTACAAGGCAGTGTGCTAGGATCAAGGATACAAAGCAGTCCATGACCTCAAGGAGAATATATTATGTGGGAAGAGGGTAGAAGAGGTGGGAATATATATACAAGTAATGTAATACAAAGTATATACAAAGAAACTTCAAGAGGGAATGAGGCCTCACAACTGGGGGGAAGGGAGAGGATTAGTGAAGTTACATCAGTGGCAGCTGGACTGTTTTAGGCAAAGGAGAGGAGGTGGTGCACTACAAGACAGGAGGGAAAAAATCCAAGAGTGGGGGAGAAATGTTGTCTGTGATGACCAATGAGAAGGTACTAGTTCTTTAAACAAAACCTTCAGAAGCAGCTAGGTGGCACAAGGGGGAAGCTAAGTGGTGCAGTGGATAGAACACTGGCCCTATAGACAGGAGGACCTGGGTCCAAATCCGGCCTCAGATACATGACACATACTAGCTGTGTGATCCTAGGCAAGTCAATTAACCCCAACTGCCTCATCAAAAAAAACCTTCCAGGAAAACCTTTAAATGATTTTTAAATGGCTACTAGTAATGACACCAAATAACATGATTGATATTTTTGGAAATTTTTGTATTGAACATACAAATAGCTACTCCATAAAAAACATTCTTCTCTGTATCCCTTTGTATTAGGAATACCAAAATGAATGACAGCCTCCTTTGCCCTGAAAATGTGTAAAACTAAATGGGGACTGGAGAGAACATGAAAAGTAGCCAATTACTCACAAGAACATGGCAAGGAAGGACAAATGGCCAAGAAATCCAAAGTGCTGAACAAGAATATAAGGCAAGAGAGGATGGGGAGAACTGTTGAGGAAGATGTTTCACAGAGCAGGGAAACACTTAAACTGAGGCTTAAATGAAGAGTATTTCAGAGAGAGCTATGAAAGGAATACATTAAAAATATTCAGAGACTAGGGAAGCAGCAAACAGATCCACGAGACTGGAAGGTGTGAGGGAAAAGAATCTGAAATCGGGCTGGAAATGTCAGCTGCAGCCAGATTGCGGAGAGCCTTAAACGCCAAGTTAAACTTCTCATTTATTATTCAAGTAATAGGAAGCCACTTTGAGCAAAGGAATGAAATGATCACATAGTAGGAACATTTTTCATGGCAGCTTTTAAGGTCTGGAGAGGGCAGAGATGGGAGTAAGTGTGAACTATTTGGAGGTATAAAACAACAGTAAACTAATAGTACAAACAGATGTGAGATACATTACTGAGGCAAAATCATCAGGGCATGGCAACTTATGGAGAGAAGAACCTGTTCCCACAGAATCACTAAAGAAGTATGTCAAGAACGATGCTAGCATATAAAGAGTCTCTAGTTCAAAGGAATCTAATTAGTTGATAGTAATAGTTTATAGCAACAGCTAATCTTTACACAGCTATGTACTTTATGTATATTATCTCATTAGCTATTTTATCTTCAGGTTGTTCTGCTACTCCTACAATGTCCATTCCCTGAAGCTAACGGCAAAGAGAGAACAAAGGGCAGCAATTTTTTCTCACCCTATCTGGGATTGGCAGTCCTAATTGTTGTGTTTATATGTGTGTGTGTGTGTGTGTGTGTGTGTGTGTGTGTGTGCGCGTGTGTGTGGTTGTTTTGTTTTGTTTTTGTCAAGACGTATGATTTTACTCAGTTGGAGAATTTCCAATGGGGAGCAAAAACTCCCTCCAAAGCACAGGGATAACTAGAGTAGTTAAGAGTCTTAGAATTGCCTGGGGGAACTGGGAGGTTAAGGTCCACGGTCACACAGCCAGTACCTTTCAAAGGCAGGTCTTGAACTAAAGTTTCCTGACCCCCAAGGCTGGTCTTCTATCCACTAAGTCACCATGCCACTATAACTCTTTAACATGCTCCTTTGCTACATGAACAGTAACTCCACATGAAGAAAAGGATGGAGGCCTTGCACCAGCATTATATACTATGCAACCTGGACCTCAAGAATACTCCTAGAGCCCATCTTTTAGCCCCAAGATTCATGAACCAAAGCTCTAAGAATCCTGTCCCAGGTAAAGGCCCAAATCTAAGTTCCAAGCAGTATTACTGCTTATTTGGCTCTAGGCAATGGCACTATTATGTAAATAAATTCTACAGTAAAAAGACATTTACTTCTCCAAAATTCAACTTCACTAACTGGTCATTTGTCACTTTTACCTACAATATTTTTAAAAATGTATATACTAAGCAAACTGTATAAACAAAATTGCCTGGAAATATTTAAACCACTTGCTTAGCATAGTGCTTAATAAATGTTTGTTGAATTCCAGAAGAATGTCTATCTTAAATCCAAATGTTTCATGTCCATTTACTGGGGCAAGACTGAGGATAACCCTACTAGCAATTTTTCACTAGTCAATACTTCATGTCGTTTTACAGAATTGAAAGTAATGATCTATATTTCTAGGAATTCTACAAACAAATTAGGGAGCTCTCATTGTAGAAGACTACAGATCTTTCTCTAGTAGAATGTAAGCTCCTTGAGGACACATGGTAGATGTTTTATAAATGCTAGTTGAATTGAAGTGAATATGGCTCTGTTGCTTTTTAAAATTTCATCTATATCTAAGAAATCTAAATTAAGAGAAATACTAACAAATGCTTTTATTTCACACTATAGATGACTTGTTCTTTGCCCTATTTGGTCCTAATTCATATTACATATACTTCTGGCAAAACCTGGAGGCTCTGATAAGATGCTAGGACTTCATTTTGGGCTTATTTTTAATTCTTTCAAATCAATCTTAGACTAGGTCAAGATAGAAGTGTACTTATTTTGGGAAGTCTGCATTTATGGAATTATTCTTTTCAAGTAAATTCAGTAGGTGTATATTGCGTACATATAACTACACCAAGGAAAATCAATCACCTTCTGCGACTGACAAAAAAAAGTAAAGTGATGTCCAAGTTTAAAAAAAAAAGCTTTTTTCTAATTCTTTGAAGAAAGAAAGGCATGTAAAAGATTAAACTATCGATTTTTCATTTAGCAAAAACAATGGTGGGAATGGCTGAGCAAGTTGTGGTATATGAGTATAATGGAATACTATTGTGCTGTAAGAAATGATGAACAGGCTGACTTCAGAAAAACCTGGAAAGACTTATATGGTCTGATGCTGAGTGAAGTGAGCAGAACCAAGAGGACTTTGGACACAATAACAGCCACGTTATGCAATGACTAAGATTGTTAAACTGAACCCTTCTCAGCATTATGAGGATCTAAGACATTTCCAGAGGCCTCAGGATGGATAATGCTGCTCACATTCAAAGAAAGAACTATGGAAGTCGAATCGCTATCACTTATTTTTACCTTCTGTTGAGTTTTGTTTCCTCTTTCTGATGGTTCCTCATATTGGTTTTAATTTTTACTTACAACTTCACTAATGTGAAAATATGTTTAATGGGTATGTAAATGTAAAGCCTATATCAGATTGTGTGCCATCTTGGGGAGGGTGGGGGGGAGGAAAAGGGAGAAAAATTTTCAACTCAAAAGCATATGGAAAAAATAAAAAAATTTAAATAAAAAAAAAGAAAAGAAAAAGAAAATGCTAACCACTTGGTTAGCATCAGCACTATTAACAGTGCCATAGCTCCTAAATCTCTAGACTATTCATACTCTGTAGTAGTAAAAGCAGATTATATGGACCTTAGCTCCAGGTTATCCCCATCCAACCACCAACAAAGAACTCAAGTTGAAAGCTAAGTGTTCCCATACACTGCTCTACTAGTGTATTATAATTAATTTGTATGTCATAAATATTATTCTATAAAATTAGATGGATGGACTAGGGCAGAGGAGGTTCCTAACTCTGTGTGTGTGTGTGTGTGTGTGTGTGTGTGTGTGTGTGTGTGCGCGCGTGTGCTTACACGCGCGGCAACTAACCCTTTAGCAGTTTGATGGACCACTTCTTAGAATACTGTTTTTAATGCACAAAATAAAACGTATAGTATTAAAAAAAAACCAATGATACTGAAAAACAGTTATCAATTTTTTAAAGTTCACAGACTCCAGGTTAGTCACACTTGAACTAAAGTATTTAAAATACAAAACAACAGACCTATTAAAAATGAAATGTTATTATCTAACCAAGTTCTAACAAAATAGATTTCAACAATTGTTGATGAAATGTATCTTAATATATTTAAAGATAAAGTAAAAAAAGTTTCACCAAACTCCAGTGAAACAATTTAATTACCAGAAATAAACTCTATTTTATAATACTATTTTGAAATATTAACTATTTTCCAACTCTACAGATTTCTCTAAATAGTCACAGCTGTGACTATATATGCTATTCATATGTGAGGACCAGTGCCTTCCCACACCATCCTCCAGACCACTTGCCCATTACACTGTACTCTAAAGACTCTAATACTTACCACCTGCCTTGCAATGGTACCCTAAAGATCATGGGGCTTTTCCATCTGCCTTGCAGCAAACCCTCCTAAATTGTTGTCTTCTATTATTAGAATGAGAACTTCTTAAAAGCAAGGTTTTAGGGGGAGAGGTAGGAAAAAATTGGGAAATAAAAAATTTTTTAAAACCAATGTCAAATTTTTTTTACATGTCAACTGGAAAAAAATAAAATGTTTGGGGGAAAAAAAGAGCAAGGTTTTTTTCTCACTTTTCTATTTGTATCCTTCAGTATGATGCTTTACATAAAGTGACAAAAAATGCCTTTTCAAGTATGCAATCATTTATTCAACTTCTAGAATGTCCAAGAGTCTTAACATATTTTTAATCAAAAATGACCAACGCAGATCATTAAAGAGTAGTTAAAAAGCTAATAAAATTCATCATTCTTACCTTAGAACCTGATAACATACTGGTCAACATTTTTGTCCCTTTTCCAATTCCAACCACTGCAAGTCAAAGAAAAAATATGATGACATTCTCTTATGGCAACTGGATTTTAAAATCAATACGTTTGTTATTGTCTTTTGTCAGGCACTATATTAAGCCGAAAAGAGCACTATTTCAGCACAATTTTGGTGCAACTTCTATTATTCCAATCAGTTAAACTTGTTATCCAACAAAAAAAAAGGAAAGAAAGGGACTACTTCTGGAAGACGTGTGCAATTTTTTTTCATCTTTATTTATGTCAAAATGGTAGAGGCTTAAATTTAGAAAGTTATATTTTACAAAAATAAAAATTTTGATAAAAATCTTCTAAGACTGACTAGAATTTCTTATGAATATCAATGAAGAATACACAGAGCAATTAATATCCAGGGTCTGGTTTGATAATGTGTTTTACCGAGTTCATTATTAAGTATGCAAAACCATGATCATGGTTAATGGACCATTTTAAAACTGTGAAGGCCCCTAAGTACATCATCAAGAAAAAAAGACAACATTCTGAGGAATCAACTTTACACAGAGAAAAAAGAGGCTATATATGCTATGCTAAATCATCAGTCCTCAAACTTTTTTGTCTCAGAACCCCTTTTACATTCTAAAATGTGATTTATATCTATCAACATTTACCTTATTAGAAATTAAAACTGATGTTTAAAATATTTAATTCATTTAAAAATAACAATAATAAGTCCATTACATGTTAATATAAAAAGTCTTATGAAAATAACTTTTTCCAAAACAAAAAAATTTTGTGAGGAGTAACACTGTTTTACAAATTTTTCCAAATCTCTTAAATGTATGGCTTAATAGAAGACAACTGGGGGCAGCTAGGTGGCAAAGTGGATAGAGCAAAGGCCCTGAAGTCAGGAGGACCTGAGTTCAAATCTGGCCTCAGACCAAACACTTGACACTTACTAGCTGTGTGACCTGGAAGTCACTTAACCCCATTGCCTAGCCCCCCCAAAAAAAAAGGACAGCTGGATTCTCACATCTGCCTCTATATTCAATCTATTATATACGTTGTTTTGGTTGAGGTGTGTATCTGAAGAAAATTTGGCCTCATACAGATATGCAGTTGGAAAAGGGAGGAGTATTTTAATAGACCAAAAAAAATCTTAGTATTTTTGAATTCTGACCTCTTGGATACTCTTCTAGTCCCACAAAAGGGTCTCAGGGATCCCCAGGATTCACAGACTATATTTTGAGAACCACTGTGCTAAATAATGAGAATAATAATCAAAATAGCTAGCATTCATATAGCATTTTAAAATTTGCAAAGTCCTTTTCAAATATTATCTCATTTAACCCTTACAATAACCCTATTACAATAATAGGTTTATTACAATCCCCATTTTACAGATGAGGAAACTGAGACATTTTCCCAGGTTCACAAAGCTAGTAAGCCTCTGAAGCCAAATTTGAACTCATGTCTTCCTGATTCCAGGACCAGCACACTAACCACTGCACCATCTAACTGCCATATATAAATAAGCCATACATAAAAGTACACTAGAGTTCACTTGGCTCTTCAATCTGAAGCAACAGCTCACTTTATGCCAGCACATTTCACTAGTCAAATTAGGTAGGAATAGGAAAGGGACTCTGGTAGTTTCTACACTTAATAACCCAAATATTTTTTGTTATTATAGACAAAACTATAATGTGTTGGGAATGGGTATGACTATACCTAAGAATGAAAAAGAATAGAAGAGGATATATACAAGCAGTATATAACAGATTTATAAGAAACATAAGCAGAAACAAGTGCCACGAGAGAAGAGTCTTGCAATTTTTTAACATGTAAGATTCAACAAGATATATACCTATGGGTTTAAAAACAAAGACATTTAGAGCTTGCAATACCAACTTGCTTGACAGAGAAGACAAATAGATGGAAATCACTCTGGCCTCCCCATCTATTTCCGTCAACAATATCTACCACCATTTTTCTAGTCATCTAGATTTGAAACCTTAGAATAACCAATGATTCCTCCATTCTTCCCTCTGTGACATTTAGATTATTGATTATTAATTGATTAATAGGTAAGAATTTTAGTTAATCACTAATAGTTATGGATCAGATTTGGATTTAATTGTGTAGGCCTCAGCAGCAGAGTTTGTAAGAGTTTAGGTTCCCTAATTTTATGAGCTACAACCTGGTCCTGTCTCAAGGAGGTAAATGGAAGATCAGTGAACCTGGTCAGGAGATGTTTTGCCTAGCACTGGGTCTCTCTGGTGTTAGGTGGCATCTAGCATGAGACTTTCCAGAGGATACTGTTCAACTCTGCTTTTTCCCTGTTGATTCTGGAGACTCCCTTTTGCAAGTCAGCACAAGTTAGTAAATGTAAGTCCACCCTCCACCTTTGCTGTAAACCAATCAGTCTTAGTTTGTATCACTGGACCTTATGTAAAGAACTGTATAAAAAACTGCCCTGTCATATGAGTCTTTGTCTCCTGATTAAGGAAGTGCCAACTCAAAACTACCAAGCAGAGTTATAGTATCTGATTGGTTATTTTGTAGCCACTACTATTACCACAAAAAAAAGGTATTAAATAGGAATGTATTTATTTTAAAATTTAAGTAAATTAAAGTTAATTTTGTTCCTTTGAAAATTAGAATTTTTTGTGACTTGAGACAACTTCATAATTAAATCAGGATTCAGAATCATCATCATAAATTCTTAGCTCGATTTTAATTACATCTTTGCTTTTGGCCCTGTGAGAAAGTCAGCAAAAAGCAATCCATAAATGTTTTAAAGAGAAATTCCCATTGTCCCATATATATTTAACACTTCTTCTTTATCAAAAAAGTAATTCAAACATTAGTGTCTTTGTAATACTCTCTCTTGAACTATAAAATGCCAGACTTCAAAATCAATAGTTATACTGATAGTGAATACTATCACCTCAGCATAATGTCCAATCTTCAATTGTAATAATAGGCATTAGGAAGATGGTTGATATATTTGTATGTTAAATCATCATAAAAATCACTGTGATGTCATTTACAAATCAATTTTTATTTTTTCTTTCCAAGAATGCTCTTCATAGACAGTACTAGATAAAAAAAAGATTAATAGCAGTACACTGTTACCACTGACATTAGATAGAGCCTTCTCTAAAGACACTTAAATTTTGCTAAAGACAAGACTTAATCAACAAACATTTATTAAGCACCTACAGTGCTGTGTAAATCAACTAAGGCAAAGTAAATAATTAAATTTAGCAAAATAAACCTTACAACTTCAAAAAATTCAATATGCAAGATATCCTCCCTTTGCTGCAATCACTTGTTTTACAAAATTTGGCACTGACTTCACAATGTCTTGACATATATGTTTTAATTCTTCATGAAACCTGTTATCATATTGGATATTAAACCTTTGATATTTTTTTTCCTAATCAAACTTTGAATATAGCCCATAAGTTTTCAATAGGGTTTAAATCAGGCAAGCTCCCAGGCTACTGAAGCATGTCCCTTTCCATCTCTTAGATAAATTCTTTAACCTGTGACATGTTATGTGATGTAAAACTGTGCTGCAGTCTATCAGTCTAAGCATTTACCAAGCACCTATTATGTCCCAGAATTATGCTAAGCACTGGGGATACCAAAAAAAAGGTAAAAGACAGTTCCTGCTCTCAAGGAACTCAAAGTCTAATGGGGGAGAAAACATGTAAACTATGTATGAACAAGCTATATAAAGGATAAATTGGAAATAATCGAAGGGACTAGCATTAAGGGACATTAGGAAAGATTTCTTGAAGAAGCTGGGATTTTAGCCAAGACTTGAAAGAAGCCAGAGAAACCAAGAGACAGAGACGAGGAGGAAGAATTCCAGGCAGGGAATCAGCCTGCAAAAATGCACTAAGTTGGGTAATGGAGTGTCTTATGGGAGGAACAGCAAGGATGCCAGTGTCACTGGATCATGGAACACTTGGGGGTAAGGTGTAAGAAGACTGGAGAGGTAGAAGACCAGGTTATGAAGGACTTTAAACATCAAACAGATGATTTTATATTTCATTCTGAAGGTGACAAAGTCAGTAGAGAAATTACTTAATGGGGATGGGTGGAGGGTGGGAAGTTGATATGGTCAAAATCTGATCTTTAGTAAGATTAACTTTATAGATGACGGTGGACCAAAGTGGGAAGAGACATGAAGCAAAGAAGCCAACCAAAAAAGGCTATTGCAATAGTCCAGGTGTAATGAGGGAAATCCTGTAATTTTGAAACAATTCTTCGTCTCCAATTATAAACATATTTACCAAATGCATTCTCTCCTTGGGTACAAGACTCCCAAGGCCCCCATTTTTGGGGATGGATGTTTTAAAGTCTGATGTAGCTGTCTAGATTTTATTGGTTTACTTAAGATTGCTCCTGACAATGGTTTTGGCACAGTCTTGAACAAAAAAGTGAGTATCATCAGTAAAAATCACCTTTTTCCAATCTTTAGTACTGCAGCCTTTGCATAATCTTGCCCATTAAAAACTTTTTTTTTAAATCATAGCAAGTTAGCAGCTAGTTTTTTTTAAACTGGTCTTCTCATTGTTCTTCCAGTTTCAGGACCTCCGTCCTGCAAAAAAGAGGAATCAATAGCAACCCTCCCTGTTGCCAGGTTCCCCTGAAAGTCTTTGCTTGTTTTCTGAGGAAACTGAAACATAAGAAAGGTTCTATGACATAACCAAGGTCACAAAATTTGAACTCAGATCTTTCTGACTCCAAGTCCCACAATCTCTTCACCACGTCAACAAAGAAACCTATCAACTATGGAATGGCAATACAAATTACGGTAGACAAATGAAATGGAATATAACTGTACAGTAACAAATGATGAGCATGATGAATACAGAGAAAGAAGGAAAGATTTACATGAAGTAATGCAAAGTAAAGTAAGCAGAGCCACAAAAACAATGTGCAATAAGACTGCAACAATGTAAATGGAAAGACCAACAACAGCCACATAACAAATGGAACTGAATGTTGCAAAATTATAAAGTATAAGCT